GGGAGGGCCGGGGGTGCGCGGCCGCGGAGGGAGGTGGGCGGCGGCGGAGGAGGAAAGTCGCGCTTTGCGGTGCTGAGAAAGGGGTCTGTGTCCCCTCCCTCGGGGCTCATTGTAAACGCTGTGGTATTACATACGCGTTCAGTGTGAGAGCCTAAAATGGGATTTAAACAGACTTTAGGAGCTTGTGCGTAAGGTGTGTTCTTTCTAATCCTACCCCTGTCCCTCTGCTCTGATTCTGTTAGAGGGGAAGTGCTGAAGAGTCATCCTTGCCTGAACTTGAAATTTCCCTGGTAATTGCAATTCCAAATGTTATGCATTCCCGAAACACAGTCTGAGCAGCTTGGCACTTAGTTTTTTCCTCAAACCTTCTGGTGCCTGCCAGTTGGGCAAGATAATATGTTTTAGTAGTAGTATACTACGTTTTAGAAGTAGTCTACTAGACATTTATGAAATATACATAATAGGATAACTCATTGCATTCATACCTTCTTTTGCTACAGCAATTGCTAGCCTTCTTTAGAATGTGTTAGGAGTGTTTGTGGTTTTTCATAAAGCCTAGTGATCAGCGCGGTTTTAAGGGAGCAGGAAATTGTTCCCGATCTAGTCAGCCGGGGGAGAATCAAAGCCCTAGTTCATAAGAGACCGCCACAGTGACCAGACAGTGAATTATGGTGGGTATCATTCCCTTGCCTGAGGTAAAGCAATGTTATTTTACACCAGAGAATGCCAGGTTCTTTGCACCAATGTGAATGATGGAACTGGATTGTGATAACTTTTATTTTGTTTGAAGTCTGTTTGTCTTTCATGGAGACAATTTTTTGCAGTTGTTTTCTTGCATCTGTGTTCTATGGATCAAGTGCTTCCAGTGTGCCCAGGGGATAACAGACCTTAAGTGTTCAAACTTGTGATGGAAGGGAAGTAATATGTTGTAAAAATACCTGTGAGCAGCTAAAGATTGGGAGAGATTGAAAGGTGGATTTGGGCTAGACACATAGTTGGATTGGGAGATCGAGTTGGTCCTGGGAATTATCAAATGAATACAGAAACCAGCCTTTTTTTCTGAAGAAGTGCGACTTGCCATTTTAGGATCAGGAACTGTCCCAAATAGGAGGTAAAGATTTGAGTTCTTTAGCAGCTAAAATCTGGATGTATCTGCCCCTAATTCCTTCAGAAGGCTTTGCAACTTGGGTAGCATTTTGTGGTGCTCTAGATGCTATGTTTTTCTTGGGGAATATTCTGCTTTGAATTACAGAACTGTTCCTAAAAGAAAAATAATTTTCAAAAGTTGTCTATAAAAAACTACCACTGAGACTTTAAAGTGTAATGCTTGCAAGGAAGGAAATGCTAGATTTGTTTGTGCGTTTTGTTATTTCATTAAAAAGCAGTATTTAAGTACAAGAAAATACAGCAGTAGATCACTTCATTTAGAGCATAGCAGAGAGATACGGTGAAACACAACTAAGATCATGAGAGCTGCTTTGAGTCTGATCTTTTCTCATGTACATTTAATTGATTTTGCTTCTAGCCTAATACTTCTGTCATTTGTTTTTTTGGTATGTAGTTACAGGTTAGTAGGAAAAAGTAGAACAGGAAACTGACATAAAAAGCAGAGATGTAAAGATAGATGGCACTGTTTTCATGATTACCTAATCCTATTTTTATGCCCTTATTTTATGTCACTGTCCTCATAGTGTTTTGTATTCTCTCAAATATTTTAACATATAACACTATGAATATTTCATTATTAGACTGTGGAGAATATGATTGTCTCTTTATATTAATATATGAGGGCCATTTACATTTATACATTAAAAAAAACCTATTTCACTTTCCAAAGTCAGTAGTTTGTAGTAAGTTCTGTCACAAGGTATTGTAACTGTTAAACAAGTAAGTTGTAACATACACTTTCCCTGAAAATTCTGACTATATTACAGTGGGTTTGTGCTTTCTTGTAGGACTGCCTTTCAGGAGCATTACATACTGAATATGAGAGTGGAAGCTCCCTAGTATACCAAGGTAATACCAAACAATGGTGCTTTGATGTCTTTTCCAGGGAAAATATATACTAAAACTCTGTAATTCCTAAATTTATTTAAAGTAGTTTTGTATTTTCTCATTTTAAATAGGTAGACTTTCTTGATCAGGGGTTTGTGATACCTGGGAGCCAGTCTGGCAATGTCAACATTCACATGAAGAGCACAAAGGATGCTTTAGGACAGTGGTTCCCAACCCATTTGTATTTTAAATCCTGCTTGAAGTAGTTGGTAGCAGTCCACCTCTTAATGCATACATTTGGCTTTAATTTAAAGATACATATACATTTAATATTTAAAATGTCTTTGGGCTTCTTGAGAAATGCATGTGGCTGGTGCATGTGGACAGCAGGGTAAAACAATGTATTCATCAGGCTTCGGTTATAGAAAAATTAGTATATGAAGGCAAGCTGTAAAACTTCAGAAAGACAAATCTGGTTTGAAAACTAAGTCATTCTTCCTATAGTTTAATCTATTATAATTCTTCATTCATTTGTCAGCCGGCGTCAGTTGTTTTTTTGGTTCTTAAACCTACATGATTACATGGTAAGCATTTCTAATAAGCCTTTGTCGATTTCTCAATGTCAGCTTCTCAAATGCAAAATTGAATTATTATTATTTTATATATTCCAGGTGACATGGACAGCTCACTGGAAAATACAACTATTTCTTTATCCAAATGTTCTTTAGAGTCAGAATTTACTGAAAGTGGGAGAGAGAACAGCATCAGATCTTCTAGTGATTTCCTACAAAGTTTTAAAGACTGGGATTGGTAAGAGGTGTTTTCTCTTCAGCTCTCCTTTACCATTTATTATCTCTCATAATCCAGATAAACCATGAGTAAACAATAAGTTCAGATTGCACAGATCCAGAAGTCATTTTAAGATACTTGTTTTCTTGTTAAGTGAAGAACTGTTTGTGGCTGATATATGAATTAATGTGAATGCTGATTTTGATGAGGAGTATTGTCTCGCTCCCTTTCTAGTCTAATCTATGTTGGAATTGCTAATGGATACAGGGATGATATAAACTGAATACAGGGATGATACAAACTGAACTAGTGATATAAACTGAACTAGGAGGAAAGGAAATAGCTCAGACTGATGAACGGCTTTAAGTTTATTTAGAGATAACTTGATTCCAAAAGCCAAGAAATCTCTTTTCGGGGCTACTTTGCACCAAATATGAAAAAATAATGAAAAAAGAGGTTTTGTATTTTTAGCTTTCCTGGAATTTGGTGGTTGGTGGTGAGAGTGTTGGTTTTACCTACTCCATACAGGTGCTTACAGTGTGAAAATTCTAGTTATTGTTAGCACTTTTAAATCAGTTGTTGTGGTTAAAGTCTTGTGGGTATTAATGCCTTCCATCCAAACGATTTAACTGTGCTATTTGTTATCAGTCAAATATCAAAATCTTAGATTGAGCAATGTTTACATTTTTATGCAAACTTCTCTCAATGCTCTAAATGTAGTGTGCTAGAAAGGGACTAAGTAATTTCAAATTATTGCTTTTTTGTATTTTTTTTTAGTTTTGATGATAAGCAAGATTCTTTTTGTGATTCAAGTGGTCTAGAAATAGAAGAAAAGACCATTGATTGCTCTGAAACTGATGCAGTTCAAAATACAGCTATATATGTGGAAACAGGTAATAAATATTGAATTTTAAATATTTTTACAACTCTGTGTGAAGTATAACATGTAATTTAGAAAACTTTCTAGTAAATGTATTTCTGTTCAGTTCAGAAATCCAATAATCAACTAAAATGTATTTTGATTTAGGGATTTCACCTTTCATGTAAGTACGAGTAACTCCTTTAGAATTAGTTTAGGAGGTCCAAACATACTTGATGCAATACTAACATACATTTTAAAAAGAAAAATCAACCTTTTATGAAACTGGTTGCCAGGTGACTTTATAATATGAATGAAGAAACAGGGTGGGTTTTGGGTTTTTTGTTTGTTTGTTTTGTTTTATTTTGTTTTAAGTAGCTAGCTGCATTAACAAATACTACAACTCTGTTAAGTCAGATGTCTTTTGTCAGTTTAAGGATTGAAAACTGGCAATGGGTGGAGAGAGGGTGTTGTCTGTTGTTCAGTTAACTCAGGAAATTCTAACTGGAAGATTGTAGAAGGGACGAGCTGGCGTTACTTCACTGCAAATGTTTGAAAATGCTGCTGCAACTGGTGGAGTTTGTGAATCAGTGTAGCTCCGTCTCTTGTGGAGAGTTTTAGGTTTAGAAGAACATTCATGTATTCTTTTGAAAGTGTATCTGGATGTCTGGAGACAGACAGACAGCCAACCCCAAAGTGTCTAAAAGGAATCTCAGAAGCCAGGCAGAGCAAATCAATGGAACTGTAATAGACTCTCACCAGGAGTTGTATTTAATGGGTGGGGAGAGTATAAGAACAGCTTTCTGAAAACCCATTCTTTCTGAAAAGAAAGAAGAAAAAAAAAAGAATTTAATTACGCTGGGAAAAAATCCATCGTTTACAGTATTTGGGATCAAAGGCAAAACAAATACTCTGGTGTCAGAGGCTCAAACAAAAACAAATACTCTGGTAAATATCACACACATTTGTTTCAGAGATTACTACTTTTTTCTGGTTTCTTTTCCCTTTTTTTTCTGTTACGATTTATGTGGCATTGTACTAGTTATGCTCTCCTTACTTACCCCTGAAGCAGACACACTGTGTCAGAACAACAGGTTTGGTTTATTACCCTGCTCCAGCTGTGATGAGTGATCAGCCACAGGGCTGCCTGATGCATACCACCAGTTAGCCCTGATTACATCATTTGCTTATCTAGTAACCTTTTTCCTGTTTCTTGATGCTCCTTGTCTCCTCCCCAGTTGCCTGTCCCAGCTGTGACCCCTCCCAACTTCTTGCGCACCCCCAGCCTAATTGCTGGTGGGGCAGAATGGGAAACAGAAAAGGCCTTGACACTGTGCAAGCCCTGCTCAGCAATACCAGCACAAATCCAAAACGTAGCACCATACCAGCTACTATGAGGAAAATTAACTCTCCCAGCCAAAACCAGCACAGTACCCCAACTTGTATTTCTGATACTGTCACCTAGGTAATCTTGGCCTAATGTGGTACCTAGGTGCAGTTGGCCTTGCACAATGTCTCTCCCCAAAAGATACCAGTACTTCCCTTCAATTATCTGTGAATTTTGGCCATTTGACTATTTGTGAAATCCAGCCATTCCTCACTGTGCTATCTGTAACTTTCATCAGCTTCTTACACTATAATCTGATGCCTAGCAGTTTCTTATGTCGTGTCCAGTAGTTTCTTAAGTCTTGTTCTGTTAACTTAGGTGTCAGGCCAAGGTCTAGTCAGCAACGAATCACTTGCCTGAAGCCCTTACAAAAATAAGAGGAGATTTTGGCTACATTATGATTCAGTCTGTGCATAGATTTCATACAGATTTCTATGGGATTTCTATATTGAAGTGGAGGACATAGTTTTACTTATAAAACTTCATTGATCACTGATTGATTCAAACGAGTCATGGACCACAGCTTTGAGCAATTCTCCATAATTCTTTAGATTAATTTCTCATTTTAATACCTCTTGCTCTATTGTTGTCACTCTAAATGCCTAAAATAAGTTTTTGATGTTTTGGAACAACAATCACATCATTATTTATCTAGGACTAATTTTTTAATGTAAAATGGATTTTTCCTTTCCATAGGCAGCACCTTATCATCCTGTTTGGCTGCAAATACACAAGAAAACAGTGACCAAGATATTACCAATGGTTTGGTAAGGAAAATTCTGAGTGGAACTGGTGCTCAAGCATGCAATAGTCAAGGTTTAATACCGCCTCACATCAGTCAAATTTATGATGAATTATTTGTCATACATCAGAAGCTCCAGGTAGGAACTGGAATTGTCTTAAAATTTTTGTTGAGTAATGTTATGAAGAGTCTCACTTTTGACAGAGAATTCAGAAATTACTTACATACTAAATCAGTATTACTTATATACTAAAACTTAATTGCTTATATCCTAAAACTATTAATATTACTTATACTAATCACAGTTACTTATATACTAAAACTCTGTTATCATCCACCTCTTCCCCTGAATTAATTCACTGATTCGGTACTGCTGCTTTGACTTGCATAGAAGGTAGATCAGATAAAATTCAGCTTGAGGGAGTTTGAACACAGTACTTCTACACCCAAGAGGGGTGTCTTGTGATGCACTGTGGGTATGGAGGGAAACGTCTGCAACCATTGCTTCTCCTGAGAGCATCTGAAACTATTCTCCTGACTCTAGGCATTCAAGAGTGCTTGCCTTCATGGCCTCCTGCGAAAACTCTCCATTCTGCCTTATTTTTGCTTTTCTGCTGCTGGGGAGTCCCAACAGTTCATCCCCTAGCAGGCCTAGGCCACTAACAGAAGAACCTCCGATATGGTTTTATTCTGTAATAGCTTCCATGCTTCTGCTAGGTTCCCTGCCAGGACTGTCTTTTGCAAAAATAATTTTCTATCTCTTTTTTTTTTTTTTCCTCACCACTTTTTCAGGGGTGCTTCCCACTAGTTGAAGAAATAATATAGTCATCTAGTGTTCAGGATAGGCAGTTGCATCAGACTCTGTTTTGTCTTACAGTTAATACCATTATCCAAAACTTTGGGAAGCAAAAGCCTAAGTTTAATTGTCTAGGTTTATACCTGAACAACCGTGTAGAGTTGAATTTTGTATTTTGGGAGGGCGAGCCATCCTGCCACACTTCGAAGTCATTTGGGTTAATATCTGGGGAAACTGAACACAGATGTCTATCAGGATACTTTTAATTAGTAAGCTACTGTGCAACACTGTATAATTTTACAAAAAGCTAAGCATATCTCTGGGAGAGAAAATTCAAATTCAGTATAAGTTGTGATAATTTCATGGATTTTAAAACTGTTTCAACATTTGTTTCTTGATACAGAGAGAAAGTTCAGCACAGCAGGAGTATGCTCTGCAACTCCAGAAACGAGAGCATTTTCTAACAGAGCGAGAAGCATTGCTTTTTAGACATGAAGCAGCTTTGGCTAAAATACGAAGTGTTGAGGAAGAAGTTCACACAAAATTTGGAATTATAAAAGAGGTGCAGTAATATATTTAATGATGTTTATTGCTCTACCTGCCATTTAACTTGTTTGTAGTTATCTTAAGTCATTATGTGTTTGCTGGATATAATGCATATTTCTTTAAAGTGCTTGAAATCCCCAAATGAAAGATTTACATAAAAAGTACGAAACAGTATAAGGTTTTTGTATGGGTTCTGTTTCAGAATGATGCATTCTGTTGTCTGATGTGTAGGTACATTCTACTGTTACGGTTTAGAAAAGAAAGGTAACTTATTTCTAAAATAGCAAAAACTATATGACCAGTATTAGAAGAAAAAATTGTGGTCTGTCTGTAGCTGTATGTAACCTTGTGGTGGGTTGACCCTGGCTGGATGCCAGATACCCACCAAAGCCGCTCTTTCACTCCCCTCCTCAGCTGGGCAGGGGAGAGAAAACATAATGAAAGGCTCCTGGGTCGAGATAAGGGCAGGGAGAGATCATTCAGCAATTACCACCATGGGCAAAACAGACTCAACTTGGGGAAATTAATTTAATTTATTACAAATCAAATCAGAGTAATGAGAAAATAAAAACTAAATCTTTAAACACCTTCCCCTCACCCCTCCCTTCTTCCCAGGCTTAACTTCACCCCTGATTTCTCTACCTCCTCCCCCTGAGCAGCACAGGGGGATGGGGAATGCGGGTTGCAGTCAGTTCATCACACGTTGTCTCTGCTGCTCCTTCCTCCGCAGGGGGAGGACTCCTCACACTCTTCCCCTGCTCCAACGTGGGGTCCCTCCCAGGGGAGAGAGTTCTCCACGAACTTCTCCAACGTGGGTCCTTCCCACGGGCTGCAGTTCTGCATGAACGGCTCCAGCGTGGGTCCCTTCCATGGGGTGCAGCCCTTCAGGAACAGACTGCTCCAGCGTGGGTCCCCCGCAGGGTCACGAATCCTGCCAGCAAACCTGTTCCAGCGTGGGCTCCTTTTTCCATGGGCCCACAGGTCCTGCCAGGAGCCTGCTCCAGCGCGGGCTTCCCATGGGGTCACAGCCTTCTTCAGGCACCCACCTGCTCCGGCGTGGGGTCCTCCAGGGGCTGCAGGTGGAGATCTGCTCCACCGTGGACCTCCATGGGCTGCAGGGGGACAGCCTGCCTCACCATTCTGCAGGGCTGTTCCTCTCACATATTCTCACTCCTCTCTCCAGCTACAATGACCCAGTTTTTTTCCCCCCTTCTTAAATATGCTGTCACAGGGGCACAACCCAACCATCGCTGACGGGCTCAGCCTTGGCAAGTGGTGGGTTCACCTTGGAGCTGGCTGGCATTGGCTCTGTCGGACACAGGGGAAGCTTCTAGCAGCTTCTCACAGAAGCCACCCCTGTAGCCCAACCCGCTACCAAAACCTTGCCATGCAAACCCAGTCTTTGCATTAGGTGTAGTTGAAGTAGATTTCCTTGGGAAGGCTTTAAGACACAGTGAGATCTTATGACATATCCACTATTGCAGAGAGTATTAGCAGAAAAACACTCAAAAAGTTCACAGAAAGAAAAGATCAACCTGACTTTGGGGGTGTGGGAGGAAATGAAATGGTATGATTTCAACAACAGAAAAATGTGTTCAACAACACTGTTCTTCTGGGTGTTTGCTCTTGAATTTAGGTCTTGTGAAAAGTTTTGGTTATTATCCAGAAGATCACCAAGAGAAGTCCTTAAATATGTGTACTTAGTGTCAAAAACATAAGCTGAGAAATTAAATTTCTTTGAAGTGTGCAGATAAACCTTTCTCACAAGCTGTTAAGGGAGGATAGACTACATGTTAAAGAGGGGAAAAGGGTGTCAGAGGAGCGGGACCTCAATTTTTGAACAGGAAAGGAATAGGTTAAGGTGTTAATTTAGATGTTCCAAATCTTCTGGGCTTGAAGAATATTACACCAGTTAGAGAACTGGCTGATGAAAACCCAGGAAAAATTAGTGGTTAACTGTGAAAATTTGTGGAGGTCAAATGGAGTATTAGAAGACTAAAAAAAAGTTATGCCCTTCTTTTCAAAAGGGAGGGAGTTGTACAGCCATCAACTTAATACCAGTTCTCTAAATAAATAAATAAATAAATAAATAAATAAATTCTGAAACAAGCTATGAACAAACCACGGGAAGCACAATGCAGAAAACAATGCAATGAGTAACTACTAGTGTGTGTTAATCATAAGTTGTCAAAGCAGTCTTATTTCCAATACAGCAAGGAAACGGTCATTGCTAATAGAGGAGTAGTAGTTATATATATGTCTGGACTTAATTAGAAATTTTTTGTACAGGTTTGCATGGCATTTTCGTAATCATGTTAGGGAAGTATAACAGAGACGTAATGCAGTTGGTGTAAAGCTGTAGTGAGACAGTAGTTCACAGTAAAGTTGAAGGAATGTACATAGTGGATTCTGGAATATCTTTTCAGTCCAGTATTATTCAGTATTTTCAATAAGAAATTTGATGGTGAGAAAGAGCACATTTATTAAATTTGAAGAAAATAGCAAGTGAGGGGGAAATTCAGACATACTGAAAAAGAACATTAGGATTAAAATTGATCTTGACAAATTGAAGATATGGTAGGTCTGAAAAAAGCCATTATACTATTCAGAAGGTGTGAGTGTACAGTATTGCACTTGAATAGAAATATCAGCTGCAGAAATAGAGGATGATGAGCGTTGCATGGGTTCAACATACAGGATGAATTGAGGATGAACATGCCAAGCTTCACCTACATAAAAGGCTGCAACAAAGAGGAAGAAACTAATATTTTTTTCATGTCTATGATAGGAGAAGTAAGGGAAAATTAGATTAAGCATTAGGAAAAACTAGCTCTAAACAAAAATAGTTAAGCACAGAGAAAGGTATGTGGGTACAACTGCAGTGTTTCCAGTATTGAAGGACTTAAGAGCAGACTAGGCAAACATCTGGCAGGAGTGAAATGATATAGCTGATTATGATATGGATGACATCGCCTGATTTGCATATGGAAGTGGATGGCTTAGACATCCTGGCATCACCTACAACCCCTATGGCTTAACAGCTGAGTTGGTTCTACTTACCTTTCAGATTAATAATTCTCTACTGAGTCTTCCTAGAGCAGCTACTAAACTTCAAATAAAGCTCTTAACTGTGTATGTAGAAAATGGAAGTGAAACATTCCATGTGATATGATAGGGTGCACTCAATTATATGTTGGCAGCACCTGCCTGTTTATTGGTGTGAAAAGGGGATCTGTCACTTCATGTCATCTTAGCCAAGTCTGGGTAGGTGCTTTAGACAAGAATGTCCTGCCCACAGCTGTTTTGATCCTATTGACTGACGAAGAGCAGCAGTTGAGAAAAAAGGAATTGTATATGTTTCTTTTGTATAGCTGGAATGGAAGTTACTGTGCTTCCAAGCAGAAATATAGAATCATAGAATATCTCATTGGAAGGGTCCCATAATAGAGAAGGATCTCTTCAGGGCTTGCTTCCTTTAAACTTCTACTGTGCTTTATTTTTGTCATTTGCACATGTAGGAAGAGAGGATATGACTGGAAATAGAAAAGCAGAGAATGAGTGGGTGAATGAGTGAAGAACAGTGAATTCATGGAAGGGGAGAAATGAAAGATATTAAGTGTATATAGCTGGAATATTTTCAGTAAAATAAAACTTTGCTGTTTTATCAAATCTGAGGTACACCAGATGCACTGGTGTCCAGAGAAGAATAAATCTAAAAGAAGATTCAGGGGAATGAAAAGAAAAGCAGTGGATGTTCAGGTTGTAGTTAGCAGTTCATATGCTTGTGCTGTAATCCAGAACGCTAGCCTAAGAGACATAGGATTAGTTTCTTGCTCTGCATGATTCAGAGTGAGCAAAGCCAGAAAAACTAGCTGAACCTCAAAAGTTGCTGCAAAACAGAATGACAATTTTTTGTAATTATATGGAAGCATAAGCTGTAAATAAAAGCTTTGTCATGGGTTTTAGTTCACAAACCTTTCCCACATTTGACTTGTCTGGAAAATGTACATATTGATATAATCTGTTTTGGGTAGAATCTGGAAAGAATAAGAGCAATTGGCTGTGCATGTTGCTCTCAGTTTCTTTATAGACTCTTCTTAATAGGCAGTGTGGATGTTGTTTTTCTCACTGCTGGTTAAACGTGCAAATTTGGCCATGCAAAATTACAAACTTGGTCTTTGAAACTTTGTCCTAGTTTTAACACTAAAATGGAACTTAGCTTAGAATTGTTTCTAAAATAGTCTCTTGTAAATCATGTTTTTAAATTTGATATTTCTATAGCAACATGAGGCAGAAGTTAAACAGCTGACAGAAGCCTTGAGAGAAATAACTAAAGAAAATAGAAGACTGAAGTTGTCATTTGACACCTTGAAGGAAATTAATGACTCTTTAAGAAAACAGGTAAAATTAGTTATTTCCTGTTATCACAAATTCTACAAGTTACAGGTAACAATTTTAAATATTTGAACAGCTTAAGTTTGCAAAATTGCTGATTTTTTTGTTTCTGTAAAACAAGAATTGTATGAATGTCTGAAAGTTCTTTCCATACCTTTTTCTAGTACTTGAAATTTAGCCTCTCTGATCTTTTACAGTATAAAAAAAGTTGGACATACTCCTCTGACCCACTAGCAACAGCTAATGGTTAGGAAGGACAAATCTGTGTCCTCTGAAGCAAATTGAGAGTGGATGGATAGAAAGTATTTTATAACGTAATAGAATCCACCCTGTGCTGAATTGCCTTACTGATTCTATTAAATAAAAAGTAGAATGTGTATTTCTAACTTCATGTTTGCTCAATATTTTCAGTTATTTTTACAAATCTTAGTTAAGGCAGTATTTTCTCAGTTCTTAAACTGAGACAGTGGTTCATAGTAATACAGAGAGTAAGAATTTTCATCTCACTTGACTGTTAAGTCTGACCTAAAATACACACAAATTGCTATATAAACTATTTGACCATTGTTTATTCAGTGAATTAACTAAAATTCTGGTAGTCTGAGTACAGTACAAATCTACATCAGAGCCTTGTTCTTTCACTTAGAGGAGGTCAGACCTAACTCCTAGAATGTTGATGATTCTGGTGCAACCCATCTGTCTCTTTATTTCTCCTCACTATAAAATCTTTGCATTTCTGTGCATACTGAAGGCTTCCGTGAAAATCGTGCTGTTCACTGTTCTATGTGTAGAGCAGGTTTCTTATATTTAAATGGAAGTTACAATTTCGCTCATCGTTTCTCACAGAGCAAACTGTCAGTAACGGTTTCATTCTGCAGAGAAGAAACTTTCCCCATTAACAAGACTGTTGGACCATTCTTGAAATGTGCACCCCATTTTTATGTCACTTCTTCATTAAAAGTAATCAAATGTGTAGTGCCTGTATATCTAGAGAGGCACTGTAGTGCTTATTCTTCCCCTGCAAACTGAAAGGCTGGGCTGCAGGTCAACAAACAGCTACTGCTGTCTTATTTATCTTGGCACAGGTTGCCCAGAGAGGTGGTGGAGTCTCCCACCTTGGAGATATTCAAAAGCTGTCTGGACATGGTCCTGGGCAGCCAACTCTAGGTGGCCCTGCTTGAGCGGGGGGTTTTAACCAGATGACCTCCAGGGGTGCCTGCCAACCTGAAGCATTCTGTGATTATGCGATTTCTTGAGGAGGTGGATGATGATTTTGTTTCTATCACTTTACATGCTCAGAAGAAAAAATCTGAACTTAAATAATTTAGCTGCTCAGTGACCACATCAGATTATTTCAGTATGATAATTAAGTCAAGAAGTGAGTTTTGAATTTACAGATACTTTAATATTTTCTGTTTATTTCAGTTAAGTGATGTAACTGAGCTGAACAAGAAGTTGGAAAGTCAAGCAAGAAAAGTACAAGCTCGTTTAGAGAATCTACAAGTAAGGTTTGTTCTTACATGTAGCTGCTTCCTTTATAGGTAACAAGTGAAATATAATTCATTGTTACATTTTGTTGTAGAGGAAGCATGAATTCTTAATAGTACAGAAGTCTAAGGATATATGTCAAGTGGTGCAACAAAGTAAACCTGTCAAGCAGGAAAAAGTGAAGGTAACATCAAAAATTGCTAAGGTAAGAATTGGGCAAAACAAAAGATTAATTCTAAAGACATTAGGCAGTGGAACATTCTCTGTGTATCTGCTAGAAACTAGAAAATGTAACTTCCAATTTTATTTATTTTATGAGTGAATTAGTTACGGTAAGAAAAGATACAGATTATATTGAGGGAAAACAAGCAGTTAACAAAGAATTAAGCTTGTTGCTAAAAATGTCTGTTGGATTTCATATTGTGTATGTATATAGTGTATGTATATATTTATATGGTATGTTTTTCTCTTCCTGTCATGTCATCTTTCATCTGTCAATTAAAGTTATAACCTGCTTACACTGTAACTGGCTTCTTTCACTGTGTCAGGGCAAATCTTAAATTTTATGGTTGCTGCCACAGTACAGCACTGTTCTTATGAATAACACAAGCTAAAAAGTAGTCAGTCAGAGGTATCACATAAAGAATTATAATTTTTGAGACATAGTCTTTAATGAGGAAAAAAGGAAAGAGAATAAATGTAGCGTTCATACACAGTTCCAAAATTATCACCTTGTTTTCCTTAAAATATCTTCTTACATCACTCAATGAAATGCTTTCTGTTTCCATGTTGTTCCATTTAGTAGCAAGTCCTGTGGTAGTATTCTGCCAACATCTCCCAACTGGTAATGATTTTCCCCACCTAGAGGCTAAACTGTGAAATAGGAAAGAGAGATTCACACCATCCTACTTAATTAATTACATCGGATGCCTTAAAACTGTGCTGTCTGTATATAGCCAACATATTTCTCTGTTTACATAGGTTTTAGTGTACTTTGGTTGCAAGTGAAATATAAACAGTATCAGTAGTTATAGTTGTGAGTGAAGAGGAAAACAGTTATCTGAAGGTAGATACAAGAAAACTTTTGAGAGAACTATTTGTGCAGCTTGTCTTCAGGTACCTCTGGATATCTTTCATAGAGTATTTCACTGCAGTGTAGTACAGGGACAGAATGACAATTTCATTAAGTCTTTGTTTGTTTTCTAACAATGCTAGTTACCCAGTTAAATTTTAACAACAGTGCATCGTATGGTCTAGTGTAGAGGTCTAGAGCATTGATACGAGAATTTCCACATGCAAAGGACATTGAGGATTTGCTTTCTCCTGTAATTCATTTGGCCAGAATTATAAAATGGAGTGATTCTGTATGTGAAAATCTTTTCCCAGGCCTCTTATAACCATCTTTCTCAGTACAAAATCAATTATGTGAGTATTTTTTCACACCCAGAAGCCATCACAAATAGTACCTGTTTTGCAGTAGGGAGGGGAGTGAAGTGTGTGAGAGAGAGAAACGATGCAGGGTTCTTTCTTTCTCTATATAAGGAGGGCCTGACAACAAATGGCTTAATGTTCTCATAAGACAGAATAAGAGGAAGAATATAGGTAGCGAGTAAATGCTACGTCCCTTCAGATGCTGAGAACCTTGTGTTTGTGCAGCATCAGATGGAGCCCACGTGGGTTTTTCCCAGGGCATGCTGAGCAGGTCCTGTCCGTGGAGAGAAGCTCCTCCTTTTTGGTCATTCGAGCTATTATATAGTTTTGTGACAATAAAACAATTCTATTCATGAAGGATGTTCACAGGAGAACTTCTTGTTGCCATTTTAGACAAGGGCATGGCCAGCCAGGAGGCCTGATCACCGGCACCAAGTGGGAGCTGCCTGCAAGCTCCTGTTACAGTGAGCTGGCTGAGTTTATCCTGTGGCCAAGCACAGGATAAACTGTGCAGTTGATTGATCTGTGCAGCACAGCACAGGCTGCATGTACTCAGATTAACTGTGATGTGGATCCTGACTTCTGGATGTACAGTGGTCTCTGGGTCAGGATCGCCACCTTTCACCCCTTGATCCACATAGAGTTTACCTTTCCCAGAGATGTTACAAGTTACAGGTTATATTAATAACATAGAGGCTTCTCAGACTCTGGGTACAAGACCCAATAGAGCAGACATTGCCTGTTCAAGATCACTATTTCCTTGAATATTATGTTTTCACAGGCTCCCAACACAATAACTTACCTCCCAGATTTTATCAGGCGTATACTCATCATCCTTTAAATTATGCATAATATTTCAGAACTAATGTACTATTTTGGCTTAGAAAAATCATTAACTTGAAAGCTGAAATATCTGATGTTGTGGACGTATTGCAGCTACCATTGAATTCACAAGTTTATGAGCTCTTAACTTTTCTTATGGATTGGATCTCAGACCACCACCTTAGCAAAATAAAAATACAAGAAGAAAGAGAGGATGGTCATAAACTTCTGGTTACCCAGACCTCCAAAAAAACCTGCACCCAGGAAAGGTGTATGAAGGTAAAGGAGTTTGGATTGTTTGCTTGTATTAATATGTTTTCGGATTTATGGGGTTTATTAAATGATTTTGAGAATGTTATAACAGGTCAGCCTGTTTTGTACGTGCTTTGGATACAGTAATTAAAACAAAATCACGCTTAATAAGTCAGTATTAATTCCAGCAGTGAGATATAATAGATAATTTGTCATTCGTAAAGCATACAGATCATTTTTAAGGAAAAGTGCGGTGTTCAGTCTCAACTTGAGAGTTTCAGCATTTTATTTCAAGTCACTTGTGTCAGTTGATAATTTGTCTTGTGTGTTATATGTAATACTGTACATAATTCCTTTTTTCTAAGGAGATGAACATGTCTAATTTAAAATCGTTTGATGCCTATATTAAAGTTCCAATTTATGACTGATAAAAGGTGATACTATGCTATACTTTTAACATGTTCACTGTTTTCTTTCTGGGTATACCAAGGTTTGGAAATCAGTGAGGTGTTCAGAACATCTTTTACTGTTTTTCTTCATTATATTAGAGATTTATAGCCATTGGGATTGGATTTACTGAGATTGCGCTCACGTGACTTATCTCCACTTTTGCTTGTAAACCTCTGTAAAATTTAAAATCTGTGCATGCGTATAATTCTGTTACCTGTACTGGATCTGCCGAATGAGCATTTGCATATGTAATCTGTTAAACTCCAAGAGAAAGTTAGGAGTTTTGTTTGTTTGTTTTTCACTTATGTTAGCTTATAAAGTAGTTTCATATGCTGCATGTAATTTTACTTTTGTATATTTTTACAGCTTTTGCCTATAGCTACTGAGCAACTCCAGTGGATGCCATTTGTGAATCCTAAACTACACATGTCTGTGATTAAATTTATTTACTGGTCTGTAAGACACCTAGACAGTGGTATTCAGGTAAAACAAGTAGTCCTCTTGCAATATGGGTTTTTTTAAAAACTAAATTCCCAGAAGATATTAATAGATTTTATGTTTTAAATACATATGAAAAGCTGATGTTTTCAGGTAGTATATATAAAAGAAATTCTGCTGTCTTTGCAAAGCATAAATTCATAGTGTTTACCACAGATACATGGCAAATTAAAAAAAAAAATTCTTTTTCAAGTTAATTTTAAGTTTTGCATTGTGTATCTAAACATAGTTTTCAGAAGTGTGTGATCTCTGTTGTGGTGTCTAAGCATCTCAGAAATTGTATTTTTACATATATATTTACAAAACTTTTGTACTAGAAAAGGCAATGTTTTTAGGTTCAGTTTATGCATGAGATTTGTTGAAATTGATGGAATTGTGTGGCAAAGCAGCAAAGGAATTTTGATTTTTCTGTTCTCTGCTCAATGTCTAACCACAAGACATACTTTACTCCCTTTGACTAGACTGCTATAAGAAAATACTCAGCAGTATAATAAAAAAAAGAGAGTAGCCATACTGTAAAGACTCAGTATAGTGCATAGTGCTGTGAATAGTGCTTTTGCTAAAGCAAAAGGTAGGAAACTTTGTTAAGTATCTTGAGTTTAAGTCAATAGAATAGTAAGCTGTTGTTTTTAGTGCTGATAAGGAACTATATTTTAAGTGAGCATATTGTGAAGTTTGATTCCAAAGTAATATTTCTGTATAGTTTATGATTAAAAGTCTAATAGATCTTACCTGTACAGTGTTCTTCAGGTTCATGTTTAGACCTTGATTCTGTAAATGCTTTCACAGGATGTAACTTCTGGCAACCTTACAAAATAGAGCTGACTGAAGCTGAGCTTGTTCTGGAACCAGAGGCGACTTAAATAATGTCAGCATATCAGGGGCCCTTGCTAACTAGCCTCTTTGTGAAGTATGTGTTGATAAGGTGCCGTGATAATGTTGTTCAACTGCTTTTGGAACACAGAGTAGTACCTCCTATATAAATTATATTCCAGTACATGGTCAAACCATTTGCTATTTAATATTTAATCGCTAGGGGAACATACATATCTCTTCATAGTACACAGGATTTTAATGTGTTTTAATGTTTACACTAACTGTGTGCGTTGTTTGAAACAGCATGCAACAATGGCATCAACAATGAGGAGACTTGGCGAAGATATTTTCAAAGGCATAGTAAGTAAGGGAAACCCACATAGTTCTTCTGAACAGTCTACAGAGAGTAAATCAAAATCGGCAGCTTTCTTTAAGAGTTCCTGTATGCCTTTGAGGTTTCTGTCAACTTTAATTGTGCTTAAAACAGTGACACAAGGTAAGATATGGGGTTTTTTAAATTTCTTTATTTATTTCAGTCGTGTGCCTGGACAAAAAACATTTCAGTGATACTGTAGCATCTATTATGCTTTATTAGCGAAAAGTGTTTTTACTTGAATTTTACTACCTTGTGAAGCAAAATATACTGGAAACAAGTGTGAATCTTGCTATTATTCATTTCATGTTGGAATTTATATGTTCCTTTTAATATGACGACTTCTTGTCAGACAAATCGACATTTCTGAAGAAGGGGAAAAGAGATGTTGGTAATTGTGTCAAACTGTCACTACAGCAGTGATTGGATTGCCAAGATGCCAAGGGTGGCACAGCTAGTTGCTCTTTTATAAACTGAAATAAGTAGCAGATTTTGCACAGTTCTAGAATTTCACTGTCCTGTTTAAGCTAGTAGGTTGTTTACCTACCCCCTGAAAGGCTGATCAGCTGCAGTGTCAAGTGTTTCTTTTCTGGCATAATTAGTTACAACTTTGCTGCATTTATCTTTGTTCATAGGTATTTCTGATGTATCTGTAGTCACATGGAGAAAGCCACTTGTGTAGTGTATTATAATTGTTAGATTGAATTGTGATACAACGTCCTGAAATTGCTTTGTCCCTTGGTCTAAGTTTAGCATACAGTTCATACTCCAGCCCTTACCTGTCTGCTGCTCCCCTCTTCTCCTACCAAGTCTAGCACTGCAAACAGCTACTCCGAAAACATTATCAACATTGAAAAATGCTACTCTATGAAATTGTCAGTTCTTGATGTGATTGTCCATTCAGATTTCACTGTTAAATAGACTCATTTACAAAGGCTCCATGTTCTGTTTACATAAAAATGTTTTAGACTTCAAAGCCACCTGTCTAGCACGAAAAGTGGCCTTTTCATTCAAAATCTTCCAAAATTCCTGTGTTGATGTATTATAGTAATGTACTTTGTTAAAAAGGCAAAAGCAAACGAGGTCATATCAGGAGATAATACAGCTCTGAAAATAGTGACTTCTGCTTCAGGTTATGACAAGTTACTCCACTTGGGCAGTTTTCAAGATGCTGTGGCAAATCTCAGTGGGGCCTTCTTTGAAAACAGATATGATCTGAAAAGACTAAAACATTTTCTTTAAAGTGATGACAAAAATGGACTGTTTCTTGTGAGCTCTGAGTGTTGAGCACACTATGAGAAGAGGCACAAACTCAGATTTTTAGAGCTTTCCTTCCTTATCCTTTTGAAACAGAGATTAGTGTATGCTTTTCTGTCAGAACCCAGAGAAGAAAAAAACCTTCAATCAATCTGATTTATAGAGATATTTTCAAATTAACTTACAGATTAACTTTGGTCATTAAAACAAATTCTTACCTATTTCTAATTTATATGTGACTTCTTTGAAAACTTCAACAGTAGTACTTAATCTGAATTATGCTTGAAGGTTCTTAATTCATAAATCTGCAGATTTGATGAGTAATTCAAAAGAACGTCTCATTTTGACTTCTATTATTAGCTTTCTCTTTTGACTTAATTGTTTTAATTCAATAATGGTTTCAATGATTGCTATGAAGCAATTTTGTTCACCTGTGCAAAAAGAGTTCATCAGCATAAAAGCAGTAGAGTTGATAGGTCCCCTCTGAATCCTAAATGCAATATAATTGCCACGTATTATCAAGCTGAGCTTCTGACTATATAAATACTTGATTAGTTTTTTTTATTTATTTATTTGGAAAAAAATAAATAAATATCCTCTTAAACCATGTAGTCCTGACAGCCTTCAATGCCTGTTAGGGGATTATTGTATCTGAAACAGCAACATAATTTTCAGCTCACACTTCTGCCTTTTCTTAGCCAAAAAGAATCGGGGGGAAGTGTAAGGGGGCATCACAGGGTTAGTGACTCTTTGCTTTCACTGTGAGGTTTTTTTCTGTTTCTACTTTGTTCCCAGGTTCCTCCCAGCTTTCACACTAGCAGAAGATGTATAATAGTAGTGTAAAGTAGGATTTTCTACTTAAAACCTATAGAATTTTGTGTTGGCAAAGAAATAGGGGAAGTTGGGTCTTCCCTGCCTCATGGGAGAGGGAGAAAGTGAAGGTTTCAAAGTAGACACTATGAGTTAACAAGAATCAGATTGTGTCTGGACAGGGTGAGAAAAAAAAAAAAACCTGTGGAAAATACATCTCAAAGAATAGAGTAACTGTTCTCTCGGCTGATTTGTTAACTGCTGCCTTCAGTTATGAAGCCTTTTCTCTCTTCAAGGGAAATAGGGAACAAGAGGTGTTGCAGATCCTTTTTATGGAAGTCAGGCAGGAAACACTAATTATATACCATTAAGAGCAGGTGTAAGAGGTGATTACTGCCTACCTGTGGCAACCTGGGAATACTGTGGTGCTGCATAACTGGGATTTTCTGCAAGAATAAGTTTTACAAGGATAGCATCAGAATGAATTTATCTATAACCCTTTTTCAACTCTTTGTGATACTAACCACTTATTTTTCCCTTTTCAAAGACATTTTAAAAGCACAGATCATTTTGATAGCAAATAATTATTCAGTGGGGTTACAAGTACGAGCAATCTGATCTAACTTCAGAGATGATCCTGCTTTGGGCAGGACACTCCACACTAGTGGTTAACGCAGTGCTAGGTTAACAGTTGGACTTGATGATCTTAAAGGTCCTTTCCAGTCTAAAAAATTCTATGATTCTAAATTATTCCATGATTCTATTTTTGCTATCTTTTGTTCTCAGAATGGTTTGTATTTTAAAATGTCTTTACTAGTAACACATCCCCTCTGCTAGTAACAGAAAGAGATGGAGACAAGTTACAGAGATGTTAATTTTCAAGGTAATCCTGAAAAACCATGCCAGAGTGTCAGAATCAGATGCCTACTTTGACATCTGCTTTTTTTCACTCTCTTGCATGAAACATGTTGTGAATTTTGGGCCATTTCTTAGAAAGCAAAGATCCACATCACAAAATTACTGCAATCTCTGGCACCCTGATTGACACTAATCAGGGATGCCAAAGATTTTAAATCCATAGATAACGAACAACGTTCTTGTTCATGGAAGTCATCCTTCTGGATTAGATGGTTAAGCAGATTAGTATGTCTTAATGCTTAACTGACCTGTGCAGTATTTATATTGTGAGTATTTACAGTAAACACAGGATTCAAACATGATGGAAAACCACCCTGACATCATTACTGAACATATAGAGTATTTCAGCTGTTGGAGGGAACTATTTCAGTCAAGATATTTTGGTGAAGCATGATAATTACTCTTAAATTGAGATTAATTTCTAGAAATGTTTGATAAAAACGATGCAAAAGAATTGCAATACAAAAAATAGTTATTGCAGAGTTATGCTAAGCAGATGAACGCTGTTGATTAGAATGAATCTGTTTAGTTTCTCATGATTGTGTTTTAGTGCTGGCTTCTCTAACATGGAAAATATGATCTGTTGTTAAACATATGTCGAACACTACTGTGTATGAATTTTGATCACTCTGACCACATGGCACTAATGATCTAGTGGTAAGTTAGCACATTTGGTTTGAACATATATCCCGTTTTCTTCAAAATGTCAGTATCCAGCAGATGGCACTGTAGTTAAACTTTTGCTACGGGATAAATTGTTCCGTCATACTTCATTTTCTGTGCTCCAGATGATAAATGCTATTCCAAGATACTGAGAAAGATTTGACATCAGGAAATTAAGAAAGTTAGATTGGTTCACTTCATCTACATTCTTTACGTAATTTAGTGCGCTCCACAATGGATGAGTATGTATGAAATGTATGCACTGAAACTTAAACTGCAGCTTTTTACAGAAAGGAATGGGAGTAGTTGCCCTCATGAAAGAAATTTCTCTTATTCAGACAAATCAGCCCTTGACTCCTTTAACAGAGATTTCCCAGATGTTGAAACCAACATTGTCTCAAATGCTGCAAGCTTGTAATTTCTTTCCTCTTAAGCAAAATATTAGAAGGGCTTTATATTTGTAAATATATTTTTCTTCAACATATGAGTTGTAGTTAGTCTTTTTCTCTACTCACAACAAATTGTTAAGGAATAAAAACAGGCAGAGGATGTCCTTAAATAAAAATAAAAGTTAATATTTTCAGCCATTTAACTTTTAAGCTTATATCTGCAACAGTAACTCTCAGGATAGCTATTCACATATTGCTTAATGGAACTATGATTATAGAAGTTTTATTGCCTGTATTCTGATATTTTTCAGTGGATTACCTGGCTCAAGCGTTTGATTCCCTTCGCATAGACTTGAAGACAGATGAAGGGAAGGCCTTATTTTTGGAATACCAATGTGTACCTGTCATATTAAGTCACTTAAAAGTATCCAGTAGAGGTCTGCTTTCCAGTGCTCTTGATGGATTACTTCAGATGACCATGGAATCTGGTAAATTTGGGTAATTGTAAAAAATAAAAATATAAAATCATGTTGAAAACAGGTGAGGTAAGCATAAATACTACATAAAAATAGCATGATTCTTCTGTATAAATAATCTAATCTAGTCTTAGCATTCGTTTGTATCATGTAAATTCATTAGAGACATAAAATGTATTTCTGAATTGTCTCTTTCTGAGTTGTCTTGTCTTTTCTTCTCCCTCTCAGCACCTATGCTTTATATTTTGTCCTGGTTACTTTCTTATTTATTGGTGTGAATTTTTTTGTTGCTATTTTTGGTTTGGCTTTTCAGTTTATTCCACTGTTTTACCTTGCTGATGTTTTTCTTTGAAGTCTGGCTGTGCCAGGGAAGCCATATCATGAAAACGTGCCAGCAGGTGGAGATAAAAAATAGGCTTTATCGAAATTATTTTTCTAGTTTGAATGAACAGCTCGTCCCTAGTCATTTTTCACTTTCTAATAATTGGAAATGGCATTTCTAGAAGAGATGGTTATGTTTTGCTGAATTTTACTGTGCTGTGGCCCTATAAAAGGGTTAATAATCTCATTTGTCCAACTGATACAGGCTAAGAATCAGTTAATAACCATCTGGATGAACACGAAAGTAGTGAGGCATTCCAGTACCATGTTGAATAAGCCTTGTGATGTTTTTTTTTTTTAAAGCTAAAAATCACTCACTGCCCTTTAGAACAGAAAAGGGGAAGGGAGTGCTGCTAATTTTGAACTGTATATTGTTATTTTGGGAGTATTTTGTTACCATGCATTGTAGTGATAAAAAGAGAAAGCATGTTTGACTTGGGATGGAACAGCATTGAGTTAAAAGCCATTTTGTAGACAGATAAGTGTCACAAAGATATAACTAAAGTTCTACGCTTCCTTGCAGACTCTTTTTCTGACCACATAGTTAGTATAGTCTTATACTAAAGTATTCTTCCTAATAGTCATAACTAAGATTGGTAAAGTGATTGGGAAAGAGATAGTTGTACAGACAAAAGTAACCTAAGCAAGGTGGATGGTGTCTGGTATTACTTTGGGTAATGCCAGTAACGGTACGTCTTCTGTTACATAGGAGTAGTTGTTCTGATATGCTAGATGCCTGCAGTCTGAAGAATAACGGGAGATATGTTGTGAGAGACTCACATTTTGCCTTGTTGCTTCTCAGAGAAGATGTATATATGTGAAATCAGGGAAGGAGGACTAATGTTTAATTGAATTGACATTTAATTGAGAATTTATTTCTCAGCAACTGGATACAAAGCCTTATGCAGGGCCTTTTTCTTTGGTAGAATAAATTGCCCATACACAAGTTATAGGCATGTTCTGCTCTTTTCTAATACATAGTGTTTTGCAAGAAATTGTTAACGATGAGAAGTGGTGTCATTGATGGCAAATCATTTTTTCATTCCTTTGTAAGTTTCCTATTAAAAAGTCATTAAAAGACAAACTAGAAGGCGGCACTGGATATTTAGAGGGCTCTCTGTGTTAGATTAAACCAGGAATTTATGCTCAATTTTAAAGCTGTATTGGTGTGCAGCCTTAAATGTGAAGTCATAGGTAGCTGGCCATATGCTAAAACATGGAATCACATTACCCAAAAAGACAGCATTGGGCCACCAGGAGGCAAAGTCTAGACTTTTTTCCTATAAGATAGGCAATCCTAGGGATTCTTTCAACTTCCTGCAATAATTTTCTGGCTCTATAGGAGTATTCCAATATTTTTATTCAAAAATATTACCTTTAGAGCTGAAGTAATTAGAAATTAAGTTGGAAAAAAAGCCAGTGCTTTATTTTTTTCTGAATATTCTTTTCTATAACTTAATTTTTTAAGTTTTAAGGCTTTTTTTGTGAAATATTTTTACAGATTCACATTTTAGTTGTCCAGACTGAAAGATGTGAATCAGATATGAAATAACTACTGTGTTGCACTACTCCCTGTAACTGCATGTACCTTTTGTTATAGTAAGCAGTGAATGCTAATGGTTCTGTCTGAGGTCCTCATGTAAGGTTCTCTTCCCTGTAAGAAATTATCTTTCTCATGTTCCAGAAGTGAAAGATTTCCCTCATATATTAAGGAAAATTACTTAGGCTGCATATGAAGAAAGTACCTGCTGGTCTAAGATAGATTTTTCTGTGCTTTGATGGAAATTATAACAAGAGAGTCTGCAGTACTGCTTAAGCCCATTGACCAATTTGGTTTTGGTATGCACATTTTCAGATTTTAGATCAGTATCATTGCTTTTGGCTTTACAGTATATCTGGTACGATGGGTCCAGGATCCAGATTTCCATTGCAAGTTCATACAACATTGACAGTGCTGATAAAGCATTCAGTTACTGAAAACTTGATGTCAAATGCAACAGTTGAGGCATTGGTATCATCTGTTTTCTGTCTATGTACGAGACCTTAACGGCAAATTAAAATTAATAGTCTTACTGCTGTGCATCTTACTGGCTGTCACAAATGGGTGATTGAGAATGCTTAAGGAATCACCGAGAAAGGTATTAGCAAAATTTGGTTTAATATGATGTTGTAAAAGTGTGACTTTAGAAAGATCGATGGCAAGGTTTACTCTACTAATTACTGCATGGAAGAATCATACAAAGGAAAATTGAGTTACACTTGAGTTAGAATGATTCACAGAGAGACCAGAGATGCAAAGAGTAAGGAAGACCCTCCCATTGAGTCATGAGGTTCAGAGTAGACCCTCTCGCTTTCTAAACTCCTGATGGAGCTTAGGTGTGGCTAGGTCCAATCTTAATCTCAGACTTGGTCAACAGTTTATGTCTAAGGGATTGTACATGCGAAGTCTATATAATGTTTCATTAGCATCAATTCAGCATGCAAAGTTACCAAGACAAAATCAAAATTCCCATACTACAAGGTTATGTGTGATATCAGTCGCTTACCAAAGATCTGTCTTTGGTAAAAGGTCTCTCTGCCTCAAGGAGGAACTTTGAGAGGTGTCCCAGCTCAAGGAGAAATCACCACCATGCAGCCACGCTGCGTAGCAGGGAGAGCTCAAAGAAGGCTCACTTAGGCTGTCATATTTGTAGGATAAAGCGGTTGGCTTGTAGTCAAATTACATGCCATGGAAAAGGTATGCAGGAGACTCCTTGTACCCACGACTTTGTTGATAAATGAGTCGCTCTGTTCCTTTGTGGGTTTTCAGAGAACAGATTGAAACTAGAGAAGTTCGCGGCCCGGCTACAGCTCAGGAGCTGCACCAAACCACCGCCAGTCTGGTCAAGGGGTCAAGCACATCTGTCACACTGGCACACAGCCTTTCATGCACTCCCTCTCCATTTCTGTTCAGGAGTTTTACATCAAGAATCTAGGAGAGTCCTGACGCCACCATTTCAATGGGAAATGGTGGAGGACTGTAAGGTAACATTCTTCACTACTTTTGTTCGCTTTCTGCCTATGACATCATTATTATATGCTCATCAGTCCCGGCCAGCTCAGGATATGCATTCATACGCAATATCTTCTACTGTTCTGATTGTTGCCTTCTTCTATTAGATCTTTTTTCATAAGGAAGAGAAGGATCAGCAGGCAGAGCTGGAGGAATAATTAATTCTAGAGTGATTTAGTTGTCTTGAGAAAGCTTACTTAGATCATAAGGTGGCCCAGAGGATGGCTTCAGGGCATTTCAAAAGCTGAAAAAAAAGCATGAAACTGAGATTCTCCAGTTCCTCCTGGAAACTGTGGCCATAAAGCCAAATAGTGCGTTAAATGTTTTGTATTCTTTTTTGCCTGCTAGGCTGGAAATAACATTTAACAAGGAATTTTTTGGTAATAGAACTGCAATATCATTTTTTGGCACTTTGGAGATGCCATGATTATTTCTAGGGCTTTCTTTGCACTAGGTCAGCTTCTCATGGCTACTGTTTGGAAAAGATTAAAGCAACAAGTATCACTTAAAATAAGTTTAGTTTAAAAAAAAAAAAAAGAGAAAAAAAGAAAAGGGACAGTAAACCAGGATTTGTTTGGCAAGATCTACTTCTCTGTCATTCTCTAAATGTGTGTTGACATTCACCATGTTCTTCTGTCAAGGTAAGGCTAACTTTAATAAAACAGATTGTCTGTTTATAAAAAGACTTCCGCAGAGCAGTGGGAAGAAGTAAAATCTATATGGTGAGAGGCAGCTAATAGCCAAAATCTCTGTGTATCATGTCGCCTCGTGTGCAGTGTGCCCAGACGTGTTTTTGGATGTTTGGGCAAATCTATGCCCTTAAGACTGTGGCTGATGAAGGTAAGTATCAGGGTTGGAATTCAAGCCATAAAAAATACTTCATGTAAAGATCAGTACCCCTTCAGTTAAAAGGCTAATGAAACTCTTTGCTCATTAAGAATTTGGAGCTCCTGTGTGTTTTCAGTGAGCTTATGCATTCCAGTCTGAAGGAAGCAGCAGATGATGGTTTTTTACACTGCACAGTTCGGTTGTGTGAGGTACAAATGAAGAAGCACAGGTTACTACACCAAATGACACCTACGCAACTTCTAGTGACAGACTTTCTTTCAGGAAGCTTGACTTGGAATCTCCAGGTCTAACAAGAGCCAGAAAGTGTGAGCAGTGAATATTACAAATAGTTTCAGTGAATTTGTACTCTTGCATTACCTTTCCCATCCATGCCTTCATGACAAGGTACTGTTGAAGCAATATCTGAATGTTCACTTAGATGACAGAGGAGTGGAGAATGTAACCGTAGTAATCAGGGATTAGGAATTTCATTCCTACTTGAAAGATAAAAGGGGAGTATCAGCTTATTTTGACCCACTTTGTGTCAGGAGGTCTATCCATTTGCATTCCTAGTGGTAAAACCATTTGTCATCATTTCCTCATTAGAGCCACAAGATGAGTTATCAACCTTCAAGGTGCTCTTTTTGGTTCATCTCTTAGTATTACTTCAGATTCCAGGTGAGAACATTTTTGATCACTACTGGGATCAGGGTTTACTCTTTAATCTTTTTGATTCCAGGTTAGTGAGAGC